GTCCTAAGCTATGGGGTCACTCAGAATTAAACTTCATGTCTTTACATTGTGCATTTATGTCCCTTTTACCAGACTGAAGGTTGAGAGGATTGTTATTAATTTTAACAATGCCAGTGTTTTGTTGAGTACTAAATTGAAATGCACATACACCTAAGGGGTGTCTTAGAGGTAACTTGAATGAGAGCTTCAAGGGAGAGAGAGATGGCACACCCCCCAGCAAGAAACTGAATGAAGGTTTTCCTCCCTTTGAAGCATGTCCCTGAACCCACCCCTTCAACACCCACTCTCTGAAAACATGTGGCAGACCTTAGAACATTTTGAACAAAGTGTTTGCCAACTGGGTGCACTGAACAGAAGTTTGGAAGGGTGCCTTTTATAAAAAAGCACAATCTTAAACCCTAGGCAGTAACCCAAATGCAAACGGATTAAAGTACCTTGGTTGAAGCAGTAGTAGGGTTGGGGAGGAATGGGCTTGGGCTGGCCACAGAATGACAGATGCAGCAGGGAAGGCCTAGCCTGTGGCTCTGGGAGCCTCCTTTGCCCTGGTCTGCTCCCCTCACGCAACCCCACGGCACACAGCTCAGGCCTCTAGGCTTGCTTTCCAGTTAGAAGAGACTCTGTTCTCACCATAGGAGGGGCTCCGGAGGAGTGTGCCAGCCTTGATGACCTGTCCCCAGTGAACAGGCAGTGAATTGTTTTAGTTTTCCACTTCAGTGGTTGCTCTGCCAGCCCCATGGGGGTGGTGGTGAAGGCAGCCAGAATCACAGCCTGCCCTCATTATTGTCTCTGGCCTTTTGTTTGGGACAGAGGGTACTGAAGTCTTTTCAACTGCTAGGCTTGGTCTATCTCTCCTCTTTTGTGGTCATGGTGCTCTGTAGCTCTTCAGGTCACAACTATAGCCCAATTCCTACTGGCCAATGGCAGAGGAGAAAAAAAGGCTAATGAAGTAGAGTTTTCATAAATTCAAATTGAGTGCACTTGAACTTTTACTTCAAGGCTGTGTACTGCCTGCATTTTAGTCTTAAAATGCCCTCTCTTTTTTTTATGAAATAACGGCCAAAAAGCTGGTCATTGTTATCCCTACTTTGCAAAATGGAAAATGTGTCAATATCCAAATTAAAATGTTTGGAGGGTATCTGGGAAACCTGAAAGCTTGGTAACCTCTGTTCTAACATTTAAAAAATTATGATCCTTATTTTCTTCTTTAGGCAAGATTAAAGTCAAATATGTAACAGAAGTGACATGGGAAGCACCAGAAAGGAGGACAGAGCCTGTGGGAATCAATCTGCTCTTACCAGAAGGAGGAGAGCAGATCCCTCTCCAAGGGAGAGGGCAAGTGCTGGTAACACTGCTGACCATTCCTGGTAAGCCTGTCTCCTGGTCCACAGGCTGTGGCTACAGCTTTCATACGCCAGTCAGGGACAGCAAAGAGGCCTTGAAAACAATGCACCTTAAAGCGGCCCTCCCTGGTACCTGCTAGCCAGCAATGGCTGGAGCGGGGCCAGGAAAGAAGCTGCAGTGCTGGTACTAGCTACCTCTGAGAGAGGGTCTGGCTGGACACAGGTTGCTCCTCAGCAACACATTGTTGCTGAAAAGCCAGCTGTTAGGATGTGGATGGCAGGCGGCAACTTAGTAGCTGCAGATCCTACCCCCCTCTAAGCTGCTGTTCTCACCCCTCCTCCTAATGCCACCATCACAGCCCTGTAGCTCAGCCACATGTCTTCCTGCCCCAGTACTGATGGTTAGGAAGCCCTGGGAGGACACTGTGCACTGCAGAAGAGGTGGCTGCAGAGCCACCAGCCACCTCCATTCCCCCCTTCCTCTGGGCTGATCCCACAGAGCCCCACTTGCCTTTATTATATCCTCCCACTTATCCAGTTCTGGGCTCCCACTGACAGGCCTCCCTAGGCCCATTCTGGTGCCTAGGCTTCCCTGACATGGTTGCCCTTCTTCTGAAGAGCCTGGCCTTTTACTCTCTTGAAGGGAAGAGAGCTTCCCTTGAAGGCTGGCCTTCCTCAGAGCTTCCTGGCAGCCCCAGCCCAGAGGCAGCTAGGTGTCTGGTTTCTGCCCTTGCTTTCAAGGCACAGCAGGCTGGGGCAAGAAAGCCTTTTCCAGTCCTGCTTTCCCTCCCATGCACACTCCCTGGCCCTCAGGACCACACCCCCGCCCCCACCCCCCTGAAACTGGGCTCACTTCCTATGAAGAGGCGATCTGTGGAAACAGGAATCCTCTCAGCTATGCTCTCTGGTCCAAACAGAAGCTCAGAATGACCGCTGAGGCCTGGTGCCAGGGGTTCAGCCCCTTTGAGTGCTCAGTGTCAGTTACTGGAACGGTGCACTGGGTGCAATGAACAACAGTTTGGAAGGGTGCTCCCAACAGCTGCCTCCAGCTGTGTCACTCACTGCACCAGGCCTGTGACACATGCAGCTGCTGGGGGTGGTTTCCTGAGCCACATGGTGTATTTTTTAGAAACTTCTGGGTCATGGAACCTTCTGGTGGCTTTTGAAAGTTTAACACACAATCCCCAGGAAAATGCATGTGTGTGCACACGCACATGCTAAATTTGCATATCACTGCAGGGGATCAAGAAGCTTTTGTTCATGTGCCCCTGGATCCTCAGATCCCAGCTTAAGAACTTCTGCTGAAACGTGACAAAGCAAAAGATAGGAAGCAAGGGATGTCATGGAGAGAATTCTGGGTATGAGTTTCACTGGAGTATCAACTTAGTGTGTGACCAGCATTTTGTGTCATTTTTTTAGGCCTTGTTTTAGGCAGGACTGTACTAGCAGAGCCTGTTCCACTTTTGAGGCTACAGGGATATGACATTCCCACCAACCAAGGTCAGACAGGGCAAAGGGAAAGGGGTTCCAGATCTGTCCCTCAGCAGTACACCATGGGCAAAGAGGTCAGGCAGCCAGAAGAGGAGACTGAGCAAACTGAGAGTTCCCCTTTAACAAGAGTGAAAACAAATCTGCAGAAGCTTTGGGAAGTGCAGCCACTTCCTATTTAATTTTAATTTACTTTAAAACAATTCCAGAGTATTTTCTTCAATGCACTCTGTGACAGGATAACCACTCAACCTTTACAAAGATCTGGGTTTAAAGCTCTGCTCTGTGATTCTTTAGCTGTGTGACCTTAGGCAAGTTCCTTTCCCTCTCTCAACCTTAGGTTCCTCATTAGTTGAATCACTGACTCCTGTGAAGGTGAAGGAGGCCATGTAAGATGGGCCTCACAGGTAATACACAGAAGCTCCAGTAATAGGTCATAATAGGGCTCTGGGGAGGTGGTGAGGCTCTAGAGATGGGAAAGTGGAACTGACTCAAAGAGGATGGCAGTTCTCCCAGGAGGAGTGGCTGTGAGTGAAGACATAGGACTGAGTTTTTACTCTCAAAACCCAGACCCAGATCTCCAGAGATCCAGTCCACAGGGTTTTCTGGTTGACCCCATAGTCAGGCTACCTCCCTTTGAAGCTTCACATTTACAGGATCTGAACCGTGCTGTGACCGAGTTCTGTTCATGTTCTTTGTTACGGGTCACTGTGTAGCTGACCCTGACCAGGTAGTACCCTGGACCTTCACTCTGTTCTCAACTTCCAGGCTACCCTCACAGTGGAGATACAACCCGACATGATTCACAATGACACTGTAATCTGTGGCCTCAACCTCATTTTCACTGTCAAGTATTGAATCACCAGCACAACACAGAATTATGAGAAGAACTAATGAAAATACACTTAAAGACTGGCAAAGTACTGAAACACACCCCCTTACTACTTTCAGCCAGCGGTATTTTGACCTAAGCTTAGCATGTTCCATTTTCTCTTCTCTCCTTCCCCTTCCTCTTCCCTCTAGTCCCCTCCTTTCCCCCTCCCTCTGCCTAGCATCTCTCATCCTGTTGACAGCAGCAGCTCAGGAATTACACAGGGGAGTAAGTAGGAGGCAAGCAAATCTGCATGTACCTATTAGTCTGTTAGTTCTACCAATTCATTTAGTTTTTCTAAAGATCATAGCTACAGACAACAAATCTTGATTGTGTTGCAGACACTTAAACTACAACGTAGCTAGTGAGGGTCTCTTCAGCAAGTACAAGTTCATGGCTTTGGAGTCTAACCTGTTCCGGTTCAAATTACAGATTCTAGCCTTATTTGCTGTGACATTTAATTCTTTTGTTAACTGTGGTTACTAAAGCTCCCCTTACAGTATTTTAAGATAGCACTGGCACTGGTCTGTTATTCATGCCCAATAGTAAACAGGGCTGTGCCAGATTAATTAAAAAAACAAAACAAAACTGAGGCATCTCCCAGAGTGGAAAGTGTAGGACTGAGAGTCAGGGGGATGGGGGAGGGCAGGGTGAGCTCTGAAGTCAGTGGGTGAAATGAGTTAGACCTGGCACAATAAACCCTGGGTTCAAATCCTGACTCCACTACTGATTTATCTGGATAGAACTGGATAATCCCCTAAGTTTTCAAGCATCAGCTTTCCCATCTGAAAATGAGAATAATGAAAGTATTCGGGTTGTAAGAAGGCGTGCTGTGCTAAACCCCCTAACGCAGTGGAACAAAGCAAATCCTCTATTAGATAGCGATTGAGAGGCAAAGATAGCAATTGTTTGGTTTCCGGGTATGAGATCTGAGGGTTGTGCCAGAGGCACTTGGAGCCTCTGCCCACAACTCTAAGATCAGCGTTTGTAGGATACTAAGATGAGAGACAATGTGGGCAAGGTGTAGCCTTCGGTCGCCTCACTTGTCGTGCCCAGGTTTTAGCCTTTAAAATGCCCTCCCCTCGGAGGAGGTGCCTGGACCAATGCCCACTCCCTCCTCAGCATAAGGCCGAGGCTCTTAGTGAGCCAGGCTGGCAGAGGGAGGGGACCCAGCTTGCAGGAGCCAAGGAGCACCAGTGCCTAGGCTCCAGGGCTGAGGGCTGGGGGAGGCGGGGGCTCGGAGGCAGAGGTGTCAATGCTACCTGGACGCCCCCGAACTCCCCTGCCCAGGTATCACTCACCGTCCACACACCGCGTAGATCAAAGGCCGCCGTCAGCACTAGGCCCTCGCTGGCTCCCGTGCTGCGACCTAGGCGCCCACTGCCCAAGGCCTTCGGTTCGGTGACTCTCCCAACCTCTCCCCGCCCCGGCAAGCTCTAGCCAATGGTGACGTCTGTCTGTCCCTCTTTGCCCCGCCCCTCCCCGCCCCGCCCGCTCCACCTTGTACGGACTCCAAGGTACCCGGCACTCTGGGAAGGGTTGGCTTTAGTCAGTGCCCAAGGGGGTTCCGGGAATGTTGGGGCGTCGGGCCTGCTAGGTGTCCTCTGATCACTAGCAGGACGCCCGGAAACTCGCGGAGGAAGCAGCCTCAAGAGTTACTGGCTGGGAGGGTCCGAATACGTTAGGTAACCTGATCCCTTGGGTTTCCAAAGAAGGCCGTAGCGTGAGCGTTTACTAGTTACTAGTATAGTATGTTCATCAGCGGGGTAAAATGTTATCCGTAAGGCCCTAAGCATAGTTTTGGGTTTTTTTTTGCTTAAGAGGCACCAGTTGTGGAGGGCTGTTTGCTTGACGTGGCCTCTCAAATCTGCACTGTGTTTAAGAAATCTGATGGGTTAATAAAGAGGAGAAGATAAACATCAGCGCCTGCTACAGGCAGAGGGCAGAGACGCCCCAGACCTTTGGGGAACTCTGAACGGTTCAGTGTTTCTGGGGTGTGTGAGTAGCAGGGCACAGGAAGGAATTAATGGAAACATTTTAGGTTTCTGTTTTAGCTCCTGTTTCCCAGTCCTGACCTCAGAATGGACCTCCTCTTTCTTATCCCAAGATGAATTATTTTAGTTTCGTTTAATCTGTGGTTCTTAATCTTTTTAGAGTCACATGGCCACTTTAGAATCTTGTAGGAACTCTAGAAAAATGCAGGTGCCTACATAAGCAAAGATGAGCTCAGTTTAGTTTATGGGCCTAGAACCCATTTTAGAGAGGCTGTGCTAATCACTGTTGTAACGACTGCTGGATTGGGGTAAAGAGATTGGGCTCTGCCATCTGTTGGGTTGGCTAAAAAGTCCATCTAGGTTTTTTTTTTCTGTAAAATAAAACCTAATTTTCATTTCACCAATAACTTTATTGATTTGGATATTTTGAGTATGTCAGCTCTCTCCCTCCATTGGCTTCTAGTGGATAGAGGTCAGGGGTGCTGTTAAACATCTTCCCATGCATGAGACAGCCCCACAGCAAAGAATTATTTGGCCAAAATGGCAATAGTACCAAGGAAGTTCCCAAACCACTTTTGACATGTTTCATCAGTCACAGAACCTTCTCCATACACTGCACAAATCTTTTTTCTGTGTGTATATATGTTTTTAGTTGTGTTCTTACCTTTCTTGAAATAATAAAGCATAATATGCTAAAAATGTTGCATATTTTCTTCCATCTTCAACGTTAAAATGGCCACAAAAAATTCACTAATTTCGATGTTTTTTATTTTTTAAATATATTGTATTGATTATGCTATTACAGTTGTCCCATTTTTTTCTCCTCTTTATTCCCCTCTGCACTGTACCCCCTGCAACCAGCATCCCTCACTCCTTAGTTCATGTCCATGGGTTGTGCATATAAGTTTTTTGGCTTCTTCATTTCCTATACTATTCTTAACTGCCCCTGTTAGGGCCGGAATTAGATAAAAGTAGCCAAAAGGAACCCAAGGTAGGCTCCACACTGTCTCAGCAAAGAAGATAGAAAGTACAGAAAATACAAAGAGTGCTGGACAAGATAAACCCCCTTGTGCATGACCTTGTCCTTGCAGAAACTTATCCATTGTTGCAAGCAGAGAACATAGCCATGTGTGCTCTCTTGGGATAGCCAATTGCTAACAGCTACGTCTGCTTCTGTATTCGCTTGCTTGCTCACCCCAATAAAAACCCCAGGCTGTAAGCGCCAGGTGCGACTCTCATCTGCAGGCATTTTGGCACCCGTGTATCCAGAGACACCCTGAGAGTTCGCCCCTGCGCAGGTAAAACTTTGAAACTTTGGCCAATAAAGTTCCATCTTAAACTCCTGAAAGCTTCCGACATTTGCTCGCATTGGGGTATGTTACACCCCCTCTCTATTTTGTACTTACCATTTATGCTTCCTATTCACTGTACCTTTCCCCACGTTCTTCTCCCACCCCCCCAATTTTGATAAGTTTTTTTTTAAATGTGCCCTTATGTGAGAGCTGTCACAATACAATCTAACAAAATTGTTTTCAATAAAATTAAGGCAACTAAGCACTGCTAGAGCCACCATATGGAAAAAAGCTAAACAAACTTTTTGGCCAACCCGGTACTTTCTATGTGAATTTGCCATGTTGCAACCTTTCTGGGCCTCAGTTTCTCCACCTGCAAAAATGAGGGGGCTAAAGATAACCAGTCCAGGGATCCTTCACCACTACCTTTCTGTGAGTTCATGGAGAATGGCCCATCCTCTGCCAGCTCAGGGTATCCCTGTAGTTGGGGACCTCCTTTCTTACACAGTCCAAAGATCTGGTTATCAAGGCTAAGGCTAATAATTGAGTTATTTGTTTTTGTTTTTTAACAAAGGGTAAAATGCAAGATAACCCTATGAGCATTTATTCATGCCCAATAGGGTAATTAAACAGCACCATGGTAACACAACTTCCCTTGGGCTTTCCAACTCTTGAAAGTGAATTAATCTCTCATCTAGTTGATGCTAATCTTAGGGCCCCCTAGTCTGGAGTGAAGATTGGATTTGAGGAAGCAACACTAAGTGTCCCTAATGCCTGGTGTGTCAGACTGTGCTAGGTGCTTTACATCAGGGATACCAAGCAATTTTCTGAACAGTCCTGAGGAGGGGCATAACTACCTGAATTTTACATGGCATACAAGTGTCCATCACCAGGGCCCTCATTTCCTTCAGAAAGAGGATCACCTTTTCCTTCAGAATTCAATGGAACTGTAACTGGCCTCCAGCTCATTTATGGTGGGTGTTGTGGATATTGTTAATTGCCAACCCAATATCTATTTCCTTCTTTGGAAAATAATGAAGAGAGGAAGGAAAGAAAAGGATAAGAAAGGGGAAAAAAAGAAAGGAAAAGGATAGGAAAGGAGAAAGAGAAATTTGTTTAGAGCAGCAACATGCAGGTCCCTAGTGACAGATCATGATCACTTGTATTTTTCATACTGCACTGATGTAATACAACAAAACAGAGGTTCGGCTGCCCACCACCACAAAAGCCAAACTTGTGAGGCAGATGCTGGTGCAGAAGGAAAGAGGTTTTATTCAGGTCCCACGTAAGCTGGATAAATTGTGGACTTCTGTCACAAAAACCCTCTCCTCTTTTTGCTCTAGCTCAAAGTTCTTATAAGGATAGGAGGAGAGAGCTTTTTTTCTATCCAGTCTATAACTACCTTTCTAGCTTTTTGCATGCTCTTGGGGGCCCTATCCATTCATCTTTCTAGCTTTCCATGGGCTCTTGGACTCTACATCGATATGTCTAGCTTTGGGGGCACTCAATGTAAGAACTTCCACCTGCTGCCATCTTGGCCAATGGGGGAGACTCCTCAGCATTCTGACTGTCTATGGTAACACTCACAGTCCAATGATGAGTCATGAAATTCAGTTATTAGATGACTAATGTTTTAAAAATTGAAGAGAAAAATTAGGGTACAGCACACATAGTAAATATAAGTTGTATTTCATGAAACTGTTTGTACTATTTATGTTTCAATTGTGCATATTAGGCTGTGATGTGAAATGTTTTTTCGCTGTGGGCCACAGTCAAAAATGTTTAAAGGTGACTCTCTAAGTCAATCTTGACATTCCTTTTCATGGTTTCCTCACCTTCCTTTGAATCTAAAAGTGGCTGTATAACCCACTTCTGGTCAAAGAAACAAGGGAAAATGGAGAAGAGAGGGATTTTGAGGGAGAGAGAAGGTGACTTTTGCTTTACTGGTAGAAGGAACAGATTCCCCCTTCCCCAGCTTTTCTGTCTCAAATGTGGATATAATGTGTAATATCTGAAGCATTAGGAGTCACTGTGAGATCATGATAAGGCTGGAAATATCTTCATAAAAGGAGTCTGGGTCCTCATTCACATCACGGAGCCACTGCACCACATCTGGTTACCCTAGAGTTTTTGCCATGGAGAAAATTAAAACCTTATTTGTTTAAACTAGAGGTTGATAAATCTTTTCTGTAAAAGTCCAGATAATACATATTTTAGGCTTTGTATGTTAAATGGCCTGTCTTATAACTACTTAGCTCTGCTGTTGTAATTTGAAAACATACAAACATAGACAACATAAACCAAAGGTCATGGCTGTGGTTCCAATAAAACTATTTAATAACAGGTGGCAGGCTGTTGGGGACCACTCCGCTTGGTTTCAGGAACTGTAACGCTAACCCTGCCCCCCCTTTCCCCCGTGGCCAAGGATGAACAAGTGACCTCCGGAATTCGAGCCACAGGAGACAAAGCTTGTCTCTGGTAGCAAACGCTGCCTCAGTTTCCTCTCCCTGACCCCAAAGCTTGGTCAGAAGTCAATGATGGGTAAGACCCCTCACAGTGGGAGGCAACCTAAGCCACACTCCATCACTTGGGAGGCCATCATGGAAGGACTTGGGGGGCTGCAACAAAGAGTGAGCAATGGACTCGGACCCCCAAGATATGTGACATAGCCTGAGTCCCCATGTCTTCTAGGAGAAGCGCTTCCTGGCTCTAATCCTCTTAAGCCTGAATACCTGATGGGGAGGGGTACAGCTCCTTGCCATGCCAGAGCAGATCCTGGGGGAAAATCTGGCATAACAAAGAATTCCTCAAAAACTGGTGAAAACTGTTCTGCTAAGAGTGTTTTCATTCATATGTTAAGGGTCCTAGCAGGAAACCCTAAAGTTTCTGCAAAACTCCCTTCCTGACAGACACTGATTCAGACTAAGTCCTCAGATTTCTTTGAAATGTTATCTACTGTTTGATCCTTGCCACTCCGTATTCCTGTGTATTACAACCCAATAAAAGCTCCTGGAGGAAGGGGCTCGAGGCCTTTGTTTCCTCTGAGAAACTGGCCACCTCTCTTCCTCAAGCAGATCACGTCTTGTCTTGTGTACTTTCATCTGTGGTGGCCAGGGGGACTTGCAGGAAAAGTCAC